TATTTTCTTTCACATCACATTCCTGTACATCAAAGAATGACGAAAATGATTCCGGGACTTAGAAACCTTCCATATCAGGATAGGTTAAAGAAACTAAACTTGCATTCCCTAGAAAGACGAAGAGTGCGGGAGATATGATAGAAGTATTTAAGTGGGTGAAAGGAATCAATAAAGGGGATATAGATAAAGTTCTTATAATATCCGAGCAGGATAGGACTCGGAGCAACGGATTCAAGTTGGATAAGTTTAGGTTTAGGAGGGAGATAGGAAGAACTGGTTCTAAATAGGGTGGTGGACGAGTGGAACAAGCTTAGCAACTTTGTAGTAAGTGCGGGAACTCTGGAAAGTTTCAAAAGGAGGCTAGATAGATTCATGGATGATAGAGTGGTAGTAACTCTCGACAGGAGCTGCCATGCACAGGCCAACCGGCCTATTGCAGACTCCTTATTTTCTTATGTTCTCAAAGAGAGCTCAGGTTCTCAACTGGCTCAGCCATGTTAATATTGTTATTATTATCCACTCTGTATCTGTGTTTTTCTGGCTAAATAAACTGAGAAGATTAAATAAAAATAAATGTTCTCCGCACCTTTATAGTGCTCATAACGATTATATATATATATATATATATATATATATATATATATATATATATATATATATATATATATATATATATATATATATATATATATATATATATACATATATATATATATATATATATATATATATATATATATATATATATATATATATATATATATTATATATATATATCACAGTGAAAAAATGGAGAACCTTAGCTTTCGTCTTTATTCAAGACATCTTCAGAGGCAACTGAATTACAAAGACAGAGTTTATGTATGTACACAGGGTGACCTTACAAAACATAATGCAAACTTTTTCGATGTGAGAGTTGTGAACTCTTGGAATAATCTACCAGAAAGTGTTGTTACGGCAACGAGTGTGAGCTCTTTGAAGACCAGACTTGACCAACACTGGAGCAGGTTCAGGTACATTCAGGAGCCGGTGCATGCCCAGTACTTGCCAACAGTGCGTGACAGAGACGTGACCGATCGCCCAAGTGGCTAACGAGCAGATCGGTGGTGAAGAGGATAAAAGTAAATAATAAAGAAAAAAATCAGGTAAAAAAAAAAACAAGACATCCACTAATCCACACAACAAACATTCAGTTGTCTCTGAAGATGTCTTGAATAAAGACGAAAGCTAAGGTTCCGCCCCTCCAGAATGAAGGGCGAAATGATAGATGTGTATTAATGGAAGTCAGGGCTAAACAAAGGGGACATTACCAAGGCACTAAAACTATCCAACCAGGAGCGAACTCGTAACAATGGTTTTAAATTAGACAAATTTAGATTTAGTCGCGAAATAGGTAAACACTGGTTTGGAAATAGAGTAGTGGACGAGTAGAACAAGTTACCAAACATCATCATTAACTCGAATATGCTGGATAGCTTCAAACATAGGCTGCATGGATATACGAGCAATAGGGTTGGGTGTAAATGGGACTGCCCAGTATGGGCCACTAGGCCCGCTGCAGTTTCCTCCATTCTTATGTTCTTGTTTCCCTTTTCCCTGTGTGATTTTATCAGATTTATCTTATCCACGTTTCCATTGTGGATCTGCATGAAATATATATATATATATATATATATATATATATATATATATATATATATATATATATATATATATATATATATATATATATATATATATATATATTCTTCTTTCCTTGTGGTTATCAGCATATACCTAGATCACGGGCACCTACAGTGATTTACTTGCATATATACACATATATATATATATATATATATATATATATATATATATATATATATATATATATATATATATATATATATATATATATATGTGTGTGTGTGTGTGTGTCTAAGTGTAATCACTACTAACCCAGGAAAGCGTAAAAACTCATTTTTTGCTACCACCGTATTTTTCAACTTACCTAACTTAACAGGGGCGGATCCAGGAATATCAAAACGGGGGTCCAAGAAGTTTTGGGTGGGAGAACATGGCGAGCCCATATAGCTGGGGGGTGGGGGGGGCCTGTAAGCCCCCTATTTTTTTTAGTCTGATCAATATTATGGACATTTTGAAGCTATGTACACTTGATATTAAGAGATATTCTGAGGTCAATAGTAAACACCTATACTATACAAATACGCCCGAGTACAATACTGCTTAACCTAACTTAGTTTAGGTTAATAGAGGAGTTGGAAAACTAACTTACGTTCAAAAAAAAAAAATAGGGGCATAATGGAAAGTACCAAATCCTCCATAGAACGCTGGTGATGAAACTATTAGCATCAAAATAGAAAAGGGCTTATGTTAATAACATGTAGAGAAGTCTTGTGCTGCCATATCGACGATGGCGACGCCGAGGTAGTTAGTGTCAGTGGCGTGTTGAAAAGTTCGGAGGGGACGCCGCCGTCACCCTCCCTCTACCCACACACAAATTCATACATGTTATACTGGATAACTTCTCGCATACAACATCTGGCTGGACAGTATATGTTAGCTCGCGAAAACCACTCACGGAAATACCAAGAATGCCTGGAAACGCGTTTTTGCTTTAATCACAATTGAGAGTTTGGACCTGCAATACAATTCAATAACATAACAATGGACAGCACCTACCATGAGATAAAATTAATAAAGGTGACATAACTAGGGTGCTAAATTATCAAATCGGGTGCGATCACGTAACGGCATTTAATAAAAATTTAGATTTAAACGGGAATTGGGATAAAAATTGGTTTGGAAACATAATTGTGGAAAAGTGGATAAAGTTAAAAACACCATCATTAACTAGAAATCGCTGATGAACTTCAAATATAGGTTGGACAATGGACATACAGTATATATGAAATATGTGGGCTGGGTGTAAACAGGGCTGCCCAATACTGTATGCCATACTGGTATTTGAATTGTTATCCGTGTTTACCTGTCTCTTAAAAATGATCCCACAAATAAGGCTTGTGAGTAGATGAAGATGACAAGTTGGTTTGTTAACATGAATGAAGGAAACGGCAATAAACTTATTAGCCCATACAGTGTATGGGTTAATAGTTTATTGCCGTGTTACTTGACTCGGATCATCAGGTACACGGATAACAATTCAAATAACAGTTACGATACTTGTTAACGACCAAGAAGAACGTCTCCGTTTAACATATTTTTTGACTAACTACCAATATATTCTTACTGTACAGTACACCTCCCACGTACAGTTTCCCAACAGAACACAAAAACCACCAGAAAAACAATTTCAACTTAACCTAACCTTGCTGGATGGCCGAAACGATAATAATACTGTTTTCCTCAACATGTATATAAGTCATGACAATGTTTCTATTACTAATTATCATACAATATAGTCATTAATCTGTTGTCAAACACATACATGTAAACGGTTATGTGGAGGGCACTTTAAGACTTTGCCTTCCTTGATAATAATTACATGTAATCAACCGTGAAAATCCATATTCGTTCAGTGTTTATCTGAATCACAGGCACCTGTGACAGGCAACACTACACACCAAAGACCAAGCATGTTTATATCTCCCTCCAAAAAACCTGCCCCTAAAACTTTCAATTTTTCTAGAAGATGAAACAGACATGATGCCTACTGCATGTGGGTACTTCAGTTATGAGAAAATTTTTAATTGGGAGTGGTGCAAGACACCCATGGTTATTTTTTTTAATTAGAAGAGCGATGCATGAAGACGCGGAGAACAAGAATCATGTTTAGCCGGTACCTTACCCACGGTACCGTCTTGACGGAGTTTAAGTAAATACTTTTAGAACATAACATAAAAACGTAAGAATGGAGGAAACTGCAGCGGACCTATAGGCCCATACTGGGCAGTCCCATTTATACCCAATCCCTATCGCTCGTATATCCATCCAACCTATGTTTGAAGCTATCCAGCATTTCGAGTTAATGATGGTGTTTGGTAACTTGTTCCATTCATCCACTACACTATTTCCAAACCAATGTTTACCTATTTCGCGCCTAAATTTAAATGTGTCTAATTTGAAACGAGGACTTATTCACAAAGCTTCAACGTGTATTATCATTAACACGCTATGACACAATAGACCAATAACGCTAAACATATTATATATGTATATATTCACAAGTGTGTTTATGTGTACATAAACTTCATGTTATTCTTCAAGTCAACCGCAATAATACTTAGTATGGACCTCACATATAAGCTAGAGAGTAACAAAATTACTGTTCTCAAGGCATGCAGTATTTTTATCGCACATTTACAGGTGATTGGAACACCTGTAAGTTTTACAGCAAAAACTCTGATAGCGATAATGCTATCTGACAGCTTCACAGCCGTGTCTACCACAAGTCTCAGTGAAAGACCGAACCTTCTGCAAATCACTGAGTGGACGGCAGGTTTTGACGGCTTGGTGAAATATACGCATTTCTTATTAATGTACTAAATGTACTCTACTGTTTAACATTTCCACTTCACATTAAAAAGAAATTGCCACCAAACGAAGAGTATAAAGTAGTTTACAAGATAGTGAGCACTCGGTAGTATAACAGGGAAGTGGTGAACAATGTCAAGTGTCGCGGAATGAAGTCCAACCACACCTCCCGAGTGTCACGAGATGGTAGGCTGGGGACCTTGTTATCTTGGCCAGCTTAGGCCTACACCACACGGTTCCCCTAACCTCTCCTCCCCCTCCAACAATCGTCGATTTATAATCACTGACTGACCAACACACGCAAGAGTTTAAAGCTTACCAACGCGGAGTGATCCTCGACCAAGACTGATTTGTCGTCGGTTATCGCAGCAATTATATATATATATATATATATATATATATATATATATATATATATATATATATATATATATATATATATATATATATATATACAGCTTTCCTAAAAAAAATCCTTCTCAAAACTAAGTATTGTTGCATCTCACCGTTTTTCCTTCTTGGGTAACACACGTTCTTCACCAGCACATAGTCACAACACAGTATCAGTCAGCACAATGTAGTATTATTGTCACTTCACACCATCACTTAGGCAATGCTACGAGGAGCTGCCATGACCCTCACTGCTTCCTGTCCACATGGTAAGTAAGGCCTCAGCCGACTGTTCCGCACCCACAATGCACATGTTGCCAGATACTTCCATTCACAAGTGCGTTTTTTTTCCTTTTTCATATTCACTTTCCAGTATCAGTACAAGTCATTGTTTTTTCCTTGAAGAAGACTTTCCTCGGTAAACAGTTATTTATCCACGATTCAGGTAACAAATGCATTTCTTACACTTAGTGGAAATGTTGTAGGGTAGTTTTCTCACGATAGGCACCGTTACATCTCCACCCCCTCAGTTTTCCAGGTCCGACGATTAGGCGCTCAGATCAAATACATGTTTCGATTTTACCGTTAAGATCAAATGTCAGTGCATTTCTCCTTCAGTGTATGCACACATCAGATACATTTTCTATAAAAATGATAACTTACAACAAAATGTTATCCGCCATTTTGACTAAAATTTTGGAGTTGACCAAATAGATTTAGGCCTATGCATGTATGCCGGAGGACGTCACATCATGAAACCGCTTAATTTATCATACTAAAATACAAATTTAATTTTTCATCCAATATGGATGCATATTCAAAGCGCATATTGTGTTCCTACCTTATGTTGAGGTGATCATCCTGAGCTTGCTACACTTCCCCTGCCCTCACGTCTCGCGATTCTAGCGCATACTCACTACTGTACAGCAGCCACGGCGGGACACCCGGCCAGCACTGCACGGCAACTCCTACCTTATCTTACTACACGCTACAAAACTATAAAAGTTCATTAATTAATGTTATTACATACATCATGTAAGAATGTAATATTCATTTTACATCCTCCTTATAAATGAATCTGAGTAAACAATCTACAAACAAACATAATAAAATTTCACTTATTGGCGACTCTGCTACCTTTCGTAAAGATGCCATAACGCGCGAGAAAATTTTATTATTTACGAATATATTATATGAATATGAGAACAGTTTCTTATAGTAAAACCCTTCAACAATTTTATAAAAAGAATTTGAATGCATTCTGTGACATATAAATGAATAACTGTGTAAAAATTAAGAAGGTTAAATCATAATCATTATATCCTTGGAATCTCAACAGCCTTACAGAAAACGAAATTTAATGCGTTTTCAACTACAAATATTTAACTCTTTAAACTTTTCTATATATTCTCCTATTTTTGTATTATACGATTGTAAATGTAATATGAATTGATTAAAACATTTAATCTGAATTACTAATATTAAAATTGCATTGCAGTAAACACAAATACGCTAGATAATTAACAAAAATACCGATGAATGAAGCACTGGAACATTATTGGAACCTTGGGAAATAAGGAAGTAGAAAAAGAGAAGAAACAGGCCGCATGCTCCACCTTTTCTCTCGTCTATCTGTCCCTGTGGAAGACGAGGAAAGCGAACAAGAAAGAAGGTGAGTGGGACAGACTCGGAAAATTAAGTGATTTTATTTGTGTTCGACATGACGTAGTAGTGAAATCAATGCAAAATTCCTCAGAGCATCAGAAGGTAAGTGAAAGAATCCGAGAAACGCACGAACAGACGAGAAATGGGGAGAAAATCGAAACTAGATCAGGGGACGGAGGAGGGAGGCGAGAGAAATGGAGGAAGAGAACGCCGATAAATGGAGGGCTGGAAGGGGTCGGTGCGCAAATGGCGAGATACTCAGAAATTAGGTATTTAGTGATAATATATAGTGTTTAATCAATATAAGAATTATATATTAATATTTATTCTAACTCTACCATTGTCAATATTTGTAAATTATGACATGACCAACTTTATGGAAAAATATTTAATCAGTTGAAACGAATATTAGGTTTTTTATGGCTATATTTATTAGGATTGTCGTTGGGAAGTTTGTGATAGTGATTGTGAATAGATTTACTTAGTGAGTTGGTAAACAGGACACCGGCCAATGTGCAGACACCTGTTGTAGGTTAGTCGCGAAAATATCCAACCCGCCAATGTTTTCTCAGGAGGTGCTGGGGAAGGGTTACCGGCCACAAGTTATGCTATTTATTTTAATTGCGCGTCATTGACATCCCATCCTACCTAGGTGATATGATAGAGTTCATTCACTCTTACGGGAGATGCCATTGAGGTAAGAACTTAAACGATGGTAACGGTGTTGAAAAGTGTGTGTGTGTGTGTGTGTGTGTGTTTGGTTGGCAACAGTCAAGTACTATGGCTGTCTGCTGAATCAAAATCCTTCGAGATGTTGTGTGTGTGTGTGTGTGTAGTGTACTGCGGTCATCTACTGGCCTTCACCACACGCTCCGGCAATCCAACATGTTCCTTACCACTTCACTGTGTATTTTACACCTCGTAGTAAGCTAAAATTTGAAGCCCAGGCATTTGTGAACGTTCTGCCTGACGGGGCTCCCAGTCACTCCGTTAGCAAAATATTTATATAACTGTATCTGTGAATGTCGCTACTCCAATTAAAGAATTTATTGATCATTCAGCAGCATGTTGGTGGCTACACTGGTGTAGGTAATATTTAGCACATGATTATTTAAAGGGAAAAGTCCTGGTTGTCAGGTAGAGCTTATTTTGACATACGAGGTTGGGTTGATGTATAACATTTGAGTTGACATGTTGAATGATACCCAGGATATAAGTATAATGCAAAATTTGGTTGGTAAACAGGACTTAGTTGGTGTAAGACTGGTTGACAGCTGGGTGTGGTGTACTGTATATATACATAATTTGTTACGCAGAAACACGAGTTCATACAACATTTTAAGTTCAGACGTCATTTTATACACGACTTCCCTCTAGATTCTGTTCAAAATATCAGGCCACCCATAATTTATAATTATTTAACCTAAACTTATGGCTAGGATGTCCAGAACTGATCACTGGGATAACCATTTTTTTTCTTCGAGGACTGGACAGACTCATGCGTAGGTTAAAACGAAACTGACAGTGAAGTCTGACCTAGGGTAACTTACTGGTGATGACTGACAGACACGACACTTTGGTAGATCGGTAACACTACACCAGACACAACGGGATTTTTGTTGTTTGGAATAGTTATTGAACAGAAGACCTTGGTTGACATCCACGAACTGGTTTGATATCAAGAATTCGGTTGGTACATGCTTATGACATCTGTCTGGGTGACAGGTGTACGGGTGATGTTGAGGAAGATATTTGAAGTGAGAGACATTGATATCCAAAATTTTGAATGAAGTGAATAAGGCTCACCCAAAATTATTACCATAGGAACTGTGCTTCACATACATAATTAGGTTAACATACTGCAATTTGGCATACAGACGAAACCTGGGTTGACACTCAGGACCTGGGTTAAAACTCAGGACCTGGGATAAAACTCAGGACCTGGGATAAAACTCAGGACCTGGGTTGACACTCAGGACCTGGGTTGACACTCAGGACCTGGGTTGACACTCAGGACCTGGGTTGACACTCAGGACCTGGGTTAACACTCAGGACCTGGGTTAACACTCAGGACCTGGGTTAAAACTCAGGACCTGGGATAAAACTCAGGACCTGGGTTGACACTCAGGACCTGGGTTGACTCAGGACACACTCAGGACCTGGGTTGACCTCAGGACCTGGGTTAACACTCGGGACCTGGGTTGACACTCTGGACCTGGGATGACACTCCAGAACCTGGACACTCAGGACCTGGTTGACTCAGGACCTGACCTGGGTTGACACTCAGGACCTGGGTTGACACTCAGGACCTGGGTTAACACTCAGGACCTGGGTTAACTCGGGTTGACACTCAGAACCTGGGATAAAACTCGGGACCTGGGTACACTCAGGACCTGGGATGACACTCAGAACCTGGGTTAACACTCAGGACCTGGGTTGACACTCAGGACCTGGGTGAGGACCTGGACTCTGGGTTGACACTCAGAACCTGGGATAAAATCGGGACCTGGGTTGACACTCGGGACCTAGGATGACACTCAGAACCTGGGTTGACACTCAGACCTGGGTTGACACTCAGGACCTGGTTTTAACACTCAGGACCTGATTTGACACTCAGGACCTGATTTGACACTCAGGACCTGGTTTGACACTCCAGGACCTGGGTTGACACTCAGGACCTCGGTTGACACACTCAGGACCTGGGTTGACACTCAGGACCTGGGTTGACACTCAGGACCTGGGTTGACACTCAGGACCTGGGTTGACCTCAGGACCTGGGTTGACACTCAGACCTGGGTTGACACTCAGACCTGGGTTGACACTCACTCAGACCTGGGTTGACACTCAGGAGACACCTCAGGACACTCAGGACCTGGTTTTGACACACTCAGGACCTCACTCAGGACCTCAACACTCAGGACCTGGGTTGACACTCGGGACCTGGATTGACACTCAGGACCTGGGTTGACACTCGGGACCTGGATTAACACTCAGGACCTGGGTTGACACTCGGGACCTGGATTAACACTCGGACCTGGGTTAACCTGGACCTCAGGACCTGGGTTGACACTCGGGACCTGGATTGACACTCGGGACCTGGATTAACACTCAGGACCTGGATTGACACCCAGGACCTGGGTTGACACTCGGGACCTGGATTAACACTCGGGACCTGGATTGACACTCAGGACCTGGGTTGACACTCGGGACCTGGATTGACACTCAGGACCTGGGTTAACACTCAGGACCTCACTCAAGACCTGGGTTAAACACTCAGGACCTGGGTTAACACTCGGGACCTGGGTTGACACTCAGGACCTGGGATGACCTCAGGACATGGGTTGACACTCAGGACCCAGATTAATACCCAGGACCTGGATTAACACCCATGACCTGGGGTGACACTCAGGAACTGGGTTAACACTCAGAACCTGGGTTAAAACTCGGGACCTGGGTCGACACTCGGGACCTGGATTAAAACTCGGGACCTGGGCTAAAACTCGGGACCTGGGATGACACTCGGGACCTGGGATGACACTCAGGACCTGGATTAATACCCAGGACCTGGGTTAAAACCCAGGACCTGGGTTAAAACTCGGGACCTGGGTTAAAACTTGGGACCTGGGTTGACACTCAGGACCTGGGTTAAAACTCGGGACCTGGGTTAAAACTCGGGACCTGGGTTAAAACTCGGGTCCTGGGATAACACTCAGGACCTGGGATAACACTCAGGACCTGGGTTGACACTCAGGACCTGGGTTGACACTCAGGACCTGGGTTGACACTCAGGACCTGGGATGACACTCAGGACCTGGATTAATACCCAGGACCTGGGTTAACACTCGGGACCTGGGTTGACACTCAGGACATAAGAATGGAGGAAACTGCAGCGGGCCTATTGGCCCATACTGGGCAGTCCCGTTTACACCCAACCCCTATTGCTCATATAAGCATCCAACCTATGTTTGAAGCTATTCAGCGTATTCGAGTTAATGATGATATTTGGTAACTTGTTCCATTCATCCACTACTCTGTTTCCAAACCAGTGTTAACCTATTTCACGCCTAAATCTAAATTTGTCTAATTTAAAACCATTGTTACGAGTTCGCTCCTAGTTGGATAATTTGAGCACCTTTGTAATGTCCCCTTTGTTTAGCCCTGCCTTCCACTTATACACCTCTATCAGGTCGCCCCTCGCTCTACGTCTCTCAAGGGAGTGCAAATTAAGATGCTTTAACCTGTCTCTATACTCAAGGTTCTAATGCCCGGGATTAGTCTTGTCATTCTCCTCTGAATTCTTTCCAAGGATTCTATATCCATTCTATAATACGGTGACCAGAACTGAACTGCGTAATCCAGGTGTGGTCTCACAAGAGCAAGATACAGTTTTAGGATGACCTCGCTAGTCTTGTAACTAACACTTTGTATGAACCCAAGTACTTTTATTAGCCTTATTGCTAAAACACATTGTTTACTTGGCTTAAGGTTCCTACTTATCATTACTCCTAAATCTCTCTCGCAGCCGTGGATTTCTATGGCATCGTTGTTCATCTGGTATCTGGTTTCCCTGTTTACATCTCCTATACTGAGTACTTTACATTTGTCGACGTTGAATTTCATCTGCCATTTTTCAAACCATTCGAAAAATTTGTTTAGATCTTCCTGTAGTTTTGCCGAGTCCTCGTCAGATTTGATAACACGTCCTATTTTAGTGTCATCAACAAATTTACTTATGTTGCTGTCTATGCCGATATCTATGTCGTTTATGTATATAATAAACAATAATGGTCCAAGTACTGAGCCTTGGGGAACTCCACTTGTACCAAAGTTGTCTAATGGGACTTATAGTGCCGTTAATGCCTCACTCGCTGTTTCCTGTCCTGTAACCACGCCCTAATCCATTTAAGGATGTCACCTTTGATGCCATGAGCTTCTACCTTTCTAATTAGTCTTTCGTGGGGGACTCTGTCGAAGGCTTTGCTAAAGTCGAGATATACCACATCATAATTGTGCCCCTCGTCCACCGATTCGAAAACTGATGAAAAGAATGTTAATAGATTAGTTAGGCAAGGGATGACACTCTGAATCTGGGTTGACAAACG